TGAAGCTAAGCTAAAGCTAAACTAAAGCTAAGCTAAAGCTAAGCTAAAGCTAAGCTGAAACTAAGCGAAAGCTAAGCTAAAGCTTAAGCTAAGGCTAAGCTAAAGCTAAGATAAAGCTAAGCTGAAGCTAAGCTAAATATAAGCTAAAACACAATATAAGATAAAGCTAAGCTAAATCTAAGCTAAAGCTAAGCTACAGATAAGCTAAACATAAGCTAACGTTAAGCTAAAGCTAAGCTAACACTAAGCTGAAGCTAAGCTAAAGCTAAGCTAACACTAAGCTAACACTAAGCTAACACTAAGCTAAAGCTAAGCTAACACTAAGCTGAGGCTAAGCTAACACTAAGCTAAAGCTAAGCTAAAGCTAAGCTAAAGCTAAGCTAACACTAAACTGAAGCTAAGCTAAAGCTAAGCTAAAGCTAAGCTAAAGCTAAGCTAAAGCTAAGCTAAGGCTAAGCTAAAGCTAAACTAACACTAAGCTGAAGCTAAGCTAACGCTAAGCTGAAGCTAAGCTAAAGCTGAGATAAAGCTAAGCTAAAGCTAAGCTAAAGCTAAAGCTAAGCTAAAGCTAAGCTAAAGCTAAGCTGCAGCTAAGCTGAAGCTAAGCTGGAGCTAAGGTAAGGCTAAGCTAAAGCTAAGCTAAAGCTAAGCTAAAGCTAAGCTAAAGCTGAGCTAAAGCTAAGCTAAAGCTAAGCTATATCTAAGCTAACACTAAGCTAAGGCTAAGCTAAAGCTAAGCTAAAGCTAAGCTAAAGCTAAGTTAAGGCTAAGCTAAAGCTAAGCTAAAGCTAAGCTAAAGCTAAGCTAAAGCTAAGCTAAAGCTAAGCTAAAGCTAAGCTAAAGCTAAGCTAACACTAAGCTAAAGCTAATATAACACTAAGCTAACGCTAAGCTAACACTAAGCTAAAGCTAAGCGAAATCTAAGCTAAAGCTAAGCTAAAGTTAAGCTAACACTAAGCTGAAGCTAAGCTAAAGCTAAGCTAACACTAAGCTAAGGCTAAACTAACACTAAGCTAAAGCTAAGCTAAAGCTAAGCTAAAGCTAAAGTTAAAGCTAAAGCTAAGCTAAAGCTAAAGCTAAGGCTAAAGCTCCCAGGGGACTGGGGGAACCGCGGGGCGGGGACTGGGGGAACCGCCCGGGGCGGCTTCCATTGCCCAGCCCCTTCAGCTAAGAGAGTAAGAACCCCTTCTTGGCAGAGCCTAGGTCGGGAAAAACAGCGTTCATGTCCAGGCCTGGCCCGCGGCTTCTGTGAAGCAGGGGTGCTTCCAAAAAACGTTCCCCCCCCCGCCCCCTACCCCCCTCTGCGCGTGGCCGACTGCTGGAGGCGCACGTCCGACGCGAACATCTACAGTGGAGGCCAGTCCACAAGAAACCTTCCACAAGAAACCCAACCCTCACACCCCAGGGCGTCCATTGACTTTTGGTGTGGGGGCGTCACGCTCTCCATCGCAGAGCCATCGAAACCCAAAAACACCAGGGCACCCTG